GGAAGGCCATGGAGGGCATCTTCATGAAGCCCAGCGAGAGCCCACCAGGCAGCCGAGACTACAGCCACCTACACACAGAGTTCTGAACCTCACTTTTCTCCTCTGCTTCTGTCTCTTCCCATTTTCCTCCCTGTCTACCTCTGTCTCTAATTCTATCTGTACCAGCAGCCGCCTTCCCTCCCTTCCCCAAAAGATATTTCGTCTGTTGACATTCACATGGAGACGCTACTTGAATCCCTAAAGATCCAGCAGCTACACTCAGAGGGCCAACAGTGTGTGAAAAGGATTAGAATTTGCCTTAACAGGTACAAGAAGACAGAGAACTAATAAATTTGCTGTTTTACTGTATAAAGACTAATCTTTTGTTACAGTTTGTGACACTTTACATCCAACAAGAGGTGTGTCTCTCAGCTGTTATTTATTTTCACTCTAAACTACGGAAGGCTCTGGAGGTTTTGCAGATGAGTACATTTAAGTCACCAAGTGTTGTGTTTAGTTTGACTAAAAGACATTGTTACACTTGTGCCTTTCTCCTCTTTTAAAAAGTTGTGGGTGTTTACATAGTGGAGCCTTTTAAACTTTTGGAAACATAGGAATTCAGTTGTGTTTTTATGGTATTTGTAAGCCATATCCTGCGCAAACAAAAGATAAGCAGTGTTACGATAGAAAATTATTTTTTTCCTGTAGGTCAGTTTCAGTGTTGCACACAAACTGTTCCACACTAATTTGACATGAGAGAATAAGCAGCTTTGTCTGTGGAGGTGTGTGTGTGTGTGTTTTTTTTTTTTTTTAATGTACATCATTGAACTAAATTCTGTTTATTATCTGGTCAGTTTTAAGGTGCTGGGAGAAAGTACAGTGTTTTACATTCATGCTGTCTGTGCATGCAAATGTGTTCTAGAGGTTCATATGAACAAATCTGCAAGAATACCTCATATTAAAGAGTTTTTTAATGCATACCACTGTCAGTGTGAGTTCTTCATTGGATTTCCTACTTTTTATCATTATGCAAGCAGAAATCAATTATAAAGTCCAGCCCTTTAATTTAACAGAGATGAAAACCGACTAAAGGATTTGCTAGTCAAGTCGGCTATTGATGTCTGTCTGGACCATTACACTTAGCATAATGCCTTGTTTGTCCACTTAACGGCATGTTTTGGTTCATTATCTGGCGGTTAATGGGGTGCATCTGCTATGAGGCTATTCTCACTTGTGTTTTGACCTATGCTCCCTAATTATAATGATTTAGAGTGAGTGCTGCTGCCAGCACTGCTCTACAGGAAACCCCCGTCTGACACGAGCTGACAAATGTGCTAATTCACCTCCAGCCATCACACAGTGCATCACGCTAAATCGAGTTTTAAGATGCTGCTCTCAATAGTCGAGCCTTTGTGCGCTTGTCTGTCGCACTGGCTGAGGTTAATTCACTGAAAGCTGTTGTGTTTGTAGTGCTGCATGACCTGCATGGTCTGTCTGAAGGTGGGAGTCTGAAGAGGCTGCTCCGCTGACTCCTTTATGTGCACTCTGGAACCTGTATGAGGAAACTGCAGAGAGCGGTGCTCAGAGAAGCCCTGCTGTGCTGTCATTCTATTTTTAAGGTTGGTATTTAAAGTGACACTGCAACGATGATAACAAGTGACAAGCAATACAACAAACCTACTTTATGCCAAGCTTTACAATCATGAACATTAAGTGAAAACATTTCCTATTTGCTTATGTAAGATTGTTTTACCTGTTTGCGTTGCTGTCATTTCTGTATTGTGCATTCAGAATCCCAAGGCATCCAAGATCCTTCACAAGTAAAACGCAGGTGCCACATATTTCTATCAAAACAAGGTTTTATTGCATAAACATATATGGATATAGATTTTTTTTTTTTTTAGATTAAACAGATTAAACTTGTTATTTGCATTTTTAAATATCCATTCAGTTGGTAACTATTGCTGTTTTCTTTCTCCTTTTCTAAGCAGCATGCCAAGGTTGTATTACATATCTGTGTTTAGTTTTTATCTCTATACAATCTACAACTGGTAAAAACATGTTTTGGTAAAAACAAATCTCAAAAGCAACTTTCAAAAACATGAAAATCATGAACCGATCCTGTCCTGTTGCAGATGTACAGTATAATAATGTAAACTTCAAAAGTGTTGGTAGAAGGTCTTTCAAACGAGTTTTTCCTTACATAGCCATGCAAGGATGTCTGAATGGCACAATTATGAAAGAACTGTTGAGATAAAGTGGGATATGCTGGTTTCAAAAGGGCTGTGATGCTAATAGACAAACGTGAAAACATGGTCCATTGGTCAATGTGCAGAGAATATCAAAGACAAACTGACTTACGAGGATAAGTGTAGCGTACATTATACAGCAGTTTACAGGACGATGAGGCAGTGAGAACATTCCATTAAAACCTAATGTGACTAAACACACAATATACTGGATTTAATGCAAAGTTTAACCATCCACAGTGAGACCTACAGACTCTACCCTAGATGATGTGAAACAGAGATGATGATGATGTGACCTTGTATTTGCATATTTATGAAAATGCCCTCTTCTGCACTCTGATTTGATTAATAGCTGGTAGAAACTAGAAAAATGGCTATTACAGTATAAATTGGAAAGTCAAATATGTGACAGTAGTACATACATACCTACATTGAAACCAAGGCTGTGCCACCACAAAGAAAGATTAATTGGATTCCCTGTCTTTCAAAGACATGAAAATCTAAACAACAACATGCATACTGATTTACAGTATTATACATTTTTGCTGTGATACTTGATCTTACAAAGCTATTTTTTTTTTATTTTAAAAGAAAGCCCTCTCCCTCTCTTGCCTTCTTTAGATTTTGTCCAACTCTGGCAATACAATTTTGTGGTTTCACATTTGTTTGATAGAAATATCTAGCCTTCTTTTCATCCACCCAGGCATAAAACAAGAGAACAAAATAATCGCTCCAAGGTCATAACAGGAACGAACCAGTCTCCAGTCCAAGAATGTCCAAGAGGAGCACCGTGCAATTCAGGAATTCACACATATGGCAAATAATGCTGCAATCAGGGTTAATGAACACCAACACAGAGCTACATTGACATAGGGCTGGGCGATTTGGTTGAAAGAAAAATCACAATATTGATCAGAATATTAAGACAACATCTATTAACATCACACAATAATCACATGTAAAATAATAGAAACTGTTCTTGCTGTAACTGGGTTCTACTTAATTCTACAGTGTGTTCTTCAAAACTTGAGAGTTTGCTTGGAATGCAACAGAATTTTGGAAAACTTTTGCCGAATATGAAACCATAACTATTCCAATGTCAGTAGATAAACAATGACATTTCTTTATTGCCCAGCCCTACGCCCACATAAAATACCCTCTCTTCACCCTCAAACTTAATCTGTGGTGTCATTGAGATGTTCAACCTCGGCTGGCTCCATTAAAAAAAAAAAACGAAGAGGAGCATGATTGCAAACTCCTACAAGGTCTTTTACAAACATTTCCATCCTTTATAAAATTGTAGTGCTATTAGGTCTGAACCATAAAACGCAGCGATGACCCCAGAAACTGCTACAGGTACTGCAGCAGTCGCTTTCCAACCGATCCTGAGCTACGAGTGCGATGACAGAGTTTGGGTGATGGAAAAGTTATAGTCTTGGTTTTGCCATTAAAAATAGTGAAAGGTCACCAATACAGACCAAACTGCCCCTGCAACACTGACACGACAAATATCAGAGCTCAAACTCAATGGTGTTGTTCTTCACTCGTGAACACCGTGTAAACATGGCTGTTCAAGCTGTAGTTCACATTTTAACCACTAGAAAGCAACCTTTTCCAAGAAAACAGCTGTATCAACAGTATGTCACAGCTCTACTGTATATCCCTGATATAGCTCACTAGTTTCTATCCTTTATACATTCTGCTTTTGAGAGGAATAATACATTACACAAGCTAATAACACTATATATACAGTGAAATCGATGGGAAACTGGACTTTGAGAGATGTTTAGTATGGCAGTGTATATACTGGCATGCTTTTGTGTGGTGTATGTTTACCACAGCTGGGCAGTATTACGATGTGATGCTGAGCTGAAACATTTTCTCCCAGCGCACAACGAAAAACATTGTAATTTATCTCAGTCTGCTCCTGTCATATATCCAAACCGTAGCTTGTCTGATTTCTCTTCATATATTATACACCTCTCAGACAGCCTGAGCTTACATTATGTATGCAGACAATGCAGTCTTTTACATGCCACACAAGTGTCGCATGACCAGTCCATCAATCAAACAGTACTGAGGAGTGGTGATAGCGGTTCAGCTTGTGGTCCCTCACTGAGTATTGAGTTGTGCTTCTTGTAGATACACATTAAGATTTCATGAGTCCCAAGACTAGGAGACTGAGCTTGAGGATAAGACGCGATGTTTACACGTGACATATGAGATGCGATCACTATGCGTTTAAGCCGCGTCCGACGTTCGCCCACTTCACATTCGATGCAACTTCTAGAGGGAAAATATATGCACTTGTCCATAATAACCGTTGTTTGTTTTGGAAATTAGGAATGGCTCAAAGCACCTGATAAACATTTTTCGGTAATTAGAAAATCAAGTTTAAAGGGCGGTCTTGGTCTCGAAAACAGCAAAATAAAACCCTCTATTCAATCTCAAGATATATATAAAAACATAATTTGTTTGCAGTTCAGGTTCCTTACGATCAATAAGTCCTGTAACTCTACATTGGTGACATCTTCAAAGCAAAACAAATACGCCTCTCTTCATATCACTCACATTGTTTTTTGGGTTTTTTTTTTGTTTTTTTTGTTTTTTTTAATATAAGGTAGGTTCAAAGTAAACTTAAAAACAAAACAAAAAAACTCAACTGATTGTTTCGAGAAGTGCTGGGGTTGTGGCTGGTCCAGCTTTGGCTGCAAAGACAAGATGTGAGGTCATGGCTGTTCTGTCCACTCCCCATGCTCACAGTGCAATTGGTTACTCCATGCCGTTCCGCAGCATCTGATTGGCTGCGATGAGCATGACACTGATGATGAAAGCCATAGCGAAGGCGCAGATCAGACTTTTTCTGACACACGTCTGCCGATTCTTCTTCTTAGGATGTACTGAGAGGAGTGAGAGAGAAAAGAAGAAACAAGAGTGTTATTGTGATTGTAAATAGTTGATTAACTGAATCACTTATGGACTTCAGTGTACTTCTTGTTGCAGTGAATTAGACAAGAAACTCAATACCACTCTCACATCTGTGCACCGAGATGGACATAGCCTCCAGGTCTGAAAAGTGAAGCATTCTGTATAACGGCCAGCAGGAGGAGAATCCTCTGGTTACAAAAATAAGTCAGGTTGTGTAGAAGTCTTCGATTCAGTTACTCTACTTGTCAGTCGATTTATTACCTCTGTAAACATCTGTCTAATGAGTTTATGGCCTCAGTTGATAGTTTCAAATCTTTGTCAATACAGCTTGATGTTCACTTGTAAAATTATAGTTCCACACAGAGTAAAATAGACTAATAAGCAGGTTATGCTTCAGGGTGTGACTATGGATGTCTGTGGTGTCCTCTCAGTCGGATCCACCTTGCTGGTCACGTCTGGTGTCAAAAACCAAGATGGCAATGGCCAAAATATCAAATTCAAGGTTTTAAAATGGTAGTCCACAGACCAGTGGGATATGTCACATATGCAGTTGGCGCTTCCTGCTAGAATCTCTAAGGACCAATTCATGCTTTCCATGTCCGTGTGCACAGACTGATGTTGACTTTGAAAGTGGACAGCAGAGTTGCACGTAGTTCTTTTCATACCACAACAGGTACATTACAGTTTGCTACGCAGACAGTCCCATTGCCCCTCACAGTGAACACAGAAAAACATGGTGGATTCTTCTAAAAGGCTGTGATTTTGTACTTTTCACAGGAGGATATAGCAGCTGGTTACAGATTGTATGAGTGTGATTATTCACACGGTGTGTTGGGCACAGAGGAGGGAAAAAGCACAGGATTCGTGAAGACTTTACAACTTCTCACTGTGTTTGGGCAGGTGTGACAAAGTACCTCCGAAGTCGGACAACAACTATTTCCTTTACAACCCTTTAATGAAGAATAATAAAGGTGAGGATGAAGGAGAATCTCCTCGCACAGCCTCTCCTCAAAACAACCATTTGTTTTAAGCACCAATTGTTTTCCTAGTGCATCTGTAGTCAGCTCACATGCAGTGTGTTCTGGTCTGCATTTGAACGTCTGCAGAGAGATCCAAGTGGACCCTTGCTGACTTAAGAGAATGATGGAATTTACATTACACATAAGGTGGCGGACGCATGAACGCAGAAAGCATGAATTGGCTTTAATGCTCACTTAGTAACAACTTCTATCTGACTCATTTCATTTGTACAAAATATGATTTCCACCCAGAGTTCACAACCAGCAGAAACTCTAAGAAGTAACTGCATCTGGTAAAACAATAGCAACACCAATCACCCCCCCTTTGGTCATTAATTGTACTTTAGAAGCTTTCGTTTTTGCATGGATTAAACAAATAAGATATACTGTGTTAATTAGTGAAGTGTTACATAAATCTGATACACAGATTTGATATGCAGATTCTTCAAATAGAGACCAGTTATTTCTCAGCTTCCACCTTTTAGGCTTATATCTCAACCACCTTAGATGTTTAAATACGTCACCCAGTGGAAAAATCTGTAAAAATCCATAGAAATACTGTATAATCTATAAATGGCAGCAAATTGTATTAGATATCAACATTTTGTTTAAAAAGAAATCAAGAAAAAGTAATGTTCAGCTGCATCACTGTGGTAGCAAACAAAGAATGTGCACACAGTTTGTCTGAGACTTCAAGGTGACAGTGTCTGTAAGTATGATGCAAATGAACATTTGAATCAAAACTGCACCAAAGGGACATACATCAGAGGGATAACAGCCACAGATGAAGATGTTTGCACATCCCAAATCTGATACCTTGATAAATGTGGTGAGGGCTGAAGTTTTGCTGCTTTTACGTATACGTCCATACGCAATTAAATTTTGGCAAAATCCCTATAAGTTAGCTCAGCTGGCACTATCTTCATTTCATTTAGTGCACAGATGTAAGAGATGTCAATAACAAAACATACTGCATTTACCAAAATGTTAACTAAAACATTAAGTAATCAAACAAAAACATTGACCTATTATTTGTAGAAATTCAATACTATTACTGCATAAATTACAACATAACATCGTCAAAAACTGACATTTTATGCAACATTAAGAAGGAGGCAGTGGACGGCCACAGAAGGATCAATAAGTCCATTTACATAACAATGACAGGGGTTAGATCTCCAGTCGAGATACAACCACTGGGACTACCAGCTGAGTGAAGACTGTGACATGCAGTCACAAGCTCTGGTAATGCTTCTAAGTGGACCTTTGAGCTGAGATTGTTTAGTCACACATAGTGTTCAAGAATGAACAAAAAACACATTTTTCTCTTAAGTCTTTTCTGTTGTACCTTCATAAAAATTTTAAATATCAGAATTTGAACCTAGTTCTCAAGGGACGCATCCGTTCTTTGAGTCAAGCAAACCGAATATAATAGCAGCTAACAGTTGTAGTTGCCGTGTTTTGCAGTTTATTTCTGTGACCCAGATCATGAGGGGAAAATGTTTCAAATGTAAAAGTAATGAATATGTGAGCGTCACTCGCTGGTTACAATACTGCCGCAGCAAAAACAAAGAAAGAGACAAGAGGAGCAAGGTGGAACTTTTGTTTGCTACCTATCAGTTTGGGTTGAAAGGCCTTTATCCCGTTTTCTGGAGACTGAAGGAGGGAGATGAGCAGAGACAGATGTGTCCTCCAACAGGCCTTGCAGCGAGAGGAACAACCCAAAGTTTCCTCTCTGTCAGCCCCTTGTCTCAGTTTGTTAGAATCACACACCGCATCAATAAATCAAGTCAGAGCTCTGAATTGTGGATCTAAGAGGAACTGTGAAGGCACTGAGGTCCCTCTGGACAGGAAGAAGACGGGAAAGAAGCAGCCATAAAAGAGGGAAGTTGAGGATGTGGGAAGAGGGCTAAATGGAGAAAAAGATACAGCTGTTCTGTACAAAGGCTCTATACCTCTTCATCTGTTCTTTATCCTTGCCTCGACTACTTTCACTCTTTCTATATCTTTATGCTTTACATTTTCCTCCCCCTAACTCCATGGTACACTCTTCCCTCAACACCAAAAACTTAGTGAAAGAGAGTGCCAAGCCAGCAGTTCCCTGATCCCTTCTTTAGCCTCTTATCTCCTCCTTCACTGTCCCTTCTCTGCTAAGTTGCACCATTTCCTCCCAGCTGTCTCTTTTTAGGTCTCGCCGAGACTGTAGGCCGGCACCCAGTGGATTCATTAAGACTTTCCAAGTTTTTCCAGCGCGTTTGATCTGCCTTTACCTTTGTCCTACTCTGACTTGGTGGATGTTTCGCAGCAGAAAGGCAATTTTGAGCTCTGTACTGTAGCTACACAAGGTCAAGTTTAGGTTTTTGTCTCAATCTTCTCCCTAAAGCAAAATAACTTGGCGTTCCAAAAGTGTGTTTCGTATTTCAGTTAGGCAGTCAAATATTAGCAGCCCATCAAACCTCACAATGCTGGCTAGGAACTCAAAGAAATTGATGCATGACCTTGAGATTAATAGATCTGATCATCTGCAGTCTTGAATTGGCCTCAGGTATCTTTGACATTCCCATCAGGACCAACAACGAATAGATGAAACCTCTGTGATGGGGTTTCATGTTGATATAGCAGAAGATTTAAAATTGAAGATTTCACCTTGAATATTGCCAAGCAAAACTTAGAAAGTTACTTTTATGAGTGAGTGTTTAAAAGTGTTTTTTTTTCTTTTCTTTTTATCACACTCTGCACCACACTTTGTTTTTTCCACTTTATTCTCATTGAGCAAAGACTGGAGGGCAAGTTCTCTCCTGTTGCTATGTGGTTGCATTTTTCTTTTCTTTCTTCTTGCCCTCATATTCTTCAGTGTTTTCCAGCTCGATTTACTTCTGCAGTATCTCTTGTCTTAAAATGGTATTCTGCTCTTCTAACCAACACATTCATTTAGTAACAACTGCTCAGGGCAGCAACACATTTGTGAATTTGTTTACAGGTTATTATTAGAGGAGTAGTTTGATATGTTGTAAAATATGGTTATTTACTTTATTGCAGTTGAGATACCTCTCTCATATCCGTATGACAGCGAGAGCAGAGGCAGTTAGCTTAGCTTAGCATAAAGACTGGAAGCAGAGGTAAAAAAAAAATAGCCTGGTGCAGCTCACCAGTAGCTGTAAGGCTCACTAGTCAATCGGGGGTTTTCCTGACTGTAAATGGGGTTTTGGGGGATGACTGCGGACGAAAGTCTGCATGCAGTAAAGGCAATGAGTCTGATCCCCATTTGTCATAAATCTATGCCTTTTGTGGTTATTTCTGACCATTCAATAAACAAAAATGTCCACTTTGTTTGAGTAAATCAAAACAGATTAACAAAACTGGTTAAAATACATACATATAAATATATCTGGTTCTCAATTCTTTTCAATCCGGCACTGGGGTTTTTTGTTTGGTGCTGGTTGAAATCTCTTTAGGAGGCACCAAAATTCCTCTATGCACGAAAAACCCTGTTAACATTTGCATCTCACTTGTATTTGTCACATTGCTGTTTTATAAAACAGCAATGTAACTTCATGAAATCAACACACCAGGCTACTAGATGTAGGAACCCTTATGTTAATTTATGAATTTTCATTAAGTCTAACCTATGACAACCTGTACAGATATGACAATCTCATACCAGCTGGTCATCATTTTCCTTCTGCTGTTTATTCACTACAATGCAAGGAGATGATGTCCTTATTCTCGAAGCTCTGATTGTCTCTCATAAACAGTCATCAGGATGCACCATACAGACCTCTGCACAATGGCCCTATAAAGGCACAAGTTACTACGCTCAGGTGTCTTTTTATTACTCCATTTAGGACATGTCAATATAATGAAGACATTTTACTCGAAGCAGTGCCTTGTTTTTTTCTTTTTTTTCTCTCTCTCTTTGTTCTCTACTGTTTTTTTTTCCCTTTTTGCCAAAGAACACCTAAAATGACCTGTTTGAACCGTATAACAAATTACTGAACAAAAATATAAACGTAGCATACAATATTTTCTCAGATTGTACCTATTCTTTTAAACATAGGGACAGAAGTACTTGTTGTTCTCTCCAACAGAATGGACGTATGAATGGGCTTGGCGACGTTAACAGACATTTTGTCGAACAGGACCATGTTGTTGGACACATCCAGCATCATGTGGCGGACTGTCTGTTGTACCGTGTTGTCTGAAATGATTTCTTAGACAACAAATTGTGCAGTTGTGGAGAGTTCAGACAACAACCCATTCTCCTCTTTCTCTTGCCATCTATGGAATTATGTCATTTGAATAAAGTTGCATTTTAAGGTGGACTGTTGCAGTCACTGGTCAAAGGAGTGTTTGTGTACTGGTCACACTATCTGATCATTGTCCTTTAAAGCCACACCTGACCTGAGTGTGTATTAACGCAATGGTTGCGAATTTGTCACTGCTTTAACAGCTCAAAAACGTTTTGTGCACAAAAATGTAAGCTCTTTCCAACAACACCAATAGAACCAAGTGTTTGAACTTTTTCTCTAAGTTAGAAAAGCCCGTTAGCATGCTGTGTTTATGTTTTTTGCCCAGTGTAGATTCAGCAGATGCTGGTTATAATTCAAACATCTGGAAACGGGCTGCTTCAAGTCTTTTTGCAAAGCTAATCTAATTGCCTTTTGGCACTTGCACCATATTTAGCACGCAGACGTGACAATGATATTGATCTTCTCATCTAACTGACTGCACAAAAGCTAATACGTATATTTGTCACATTTCTGACTGTTTCATCAGACAGTTTGATTAATCACAGTAAACAGATACTCGACTGCTGCTTAAAATATCACAGGTTTTTATGACAGTAAAGTTTCCATTGTGAACTGCTTCCTCACCTCCCTCGTACTCAGGGCAGTTCCCTGAGGTTTCATTGAGGCTCTCCTCCTCTGTGATGATGATGTTCTCTATGTCCTTCATTGTCAGGTGGTCCCGGAAGGCGTGGAACAGCACCTGCTTCAGCTCATCCAGAGACAGCTGCTGCATGTCAAACTGCAGGGGCACACAGCAATCAATGCAAAGACATAGTCATCCACAAACGGGTTTTATGGGGGCAGATAAATATAGAAGATAAGAATCAGGTGTGAAATGTACAAGCAGCAAGAAATGATGGCATTTATGAATCCACACTTTACTGGTAAATGTGTAATGTGCAGATGTGGTACGGGAGTAGGAACTGTGTCAGTTGTAATGTAAATCTTCACTGGTGCTATTTTTGGGCACCTGAATCAGTATGCAATCCTGTTTGTGTGCATAAATGTATACTCGCACAATCAGTTTAATGGATGTCCCAATTAATATGGAAATGGCAACACATTTTCCTCCTTGTAGGTGGTTGTGTTTTCCCTTCTGTGTACATGTTCATGTTTAAAATGACTGATGAGACTCTCACCAACCACTGACTTGAAGACTACATTTCTGCCTCCATCTGTCCTTCCAGAAAATCACGGCCTTCTTTTCTTCCCCTCTAAAAAACATCTTCTTTGCCCACAATGCACACACCATCCTCAAACCCAAGAGCATGTATCTGGATTATTTACCTCACTGACAGCCTCAAATACAATCAGTCGCTTGGTTTAGCACGACAGATGGACACACTGAGGCAGGCATGGCAAAGAGGAAGAAAATAAGGGGTTGATCGAGAGTGGAAGAGAGAGACGCTGCGAGATAAGAAAATGGGAAAGTATGATGAGGTCAAAGTAGTGGGAGACAGATGGAGAAAACAGAACTGGCAGACAATGGTGGTGGAGATGTAAAAGAGTTGTGATAGGGAAGAGGAGATGCTCATTTCAACGAGGGAACAATAATCCTGCTGGTGCTTTATCGCCGTGCTCGCTAAACGCTGAAAGCAGCATCATTCGTGCTCGCCCACTTTAAGTAAAACAGATATTGTTTACCAAAGCAAAACTACCTGAGGAGAGGTTGGAAATCCTTTAATTAGCAGGACTGTATATCAAACTCCAGTATCTCTTTGCCACCAAATGAAATGGGAAGCCAACACTGAATGCAGTCAGGTTTGCAGTTTATTTAATGTTTAAAGGGGCATTTATTTTGCATTTTTGCTTAGAGTTAAATTGGGAGATCTCATATCTGTCCGTTGAATATGAAGCTAAAGCCAGTACAGGTTAGTCAAAACACTCAAAAAAGAGGGTACTTCTTATCTGTCCTAAGTACAAAAAGACAACCAAAGCTTCTGTAGCTCACATATTCCAAGAGTCACACTTGCCACGTCCCCCTGTTTCCAACCTTTATGGTCAGGTAAATTACCCATCTGCAGCTGTAGCTTCACATTTAATGGAGATATATGGAGGTGGTATCTTTTATTTTTTATCTAAGTGTCACATATTCATTGATTTATAGCATCATTCTTGGAAATGTATTTTATTTGGATTCCCAAGTGCTTCTCTTTTAGATAACATTTAACATTTGAAAATAGTTTTTTTTTTGCAGAATTTATTGGTGTTCATCCTAATGGCAGATTTCTACACTGCAGCAAAGCAATCAATGGAACATAACCAAGACATTAATAGAAAAGTGTGATATCATCATCCTGCAGCATGCACGCATACACATGATAAGAAAGACGTTTTATGTTACCGGGCCTTTTATGTATTCTGCATGTCTGCTCCTCTCGGCTCTGCAAATGTGTATTGATTCCAAATGTGACCATGCGTGCCACATTTTCAGGTGATTTACACTGTAATCGTGGAAACATGCATTTGGATGCATACGCACACACAGGCACGTGCACAGGAATAAAAATAAACAGACGCGACATGATCAGCAAACGTGAGGCACGGCAGTAAATAAGAATGATTTCAAAGAACTGCACAGACAAAGACACTCTCTGGTTTCTGCTACCTCTTCTACCTCCCACTCAGTCACACACAGACCGACACCCACACACAAGGATTATTGACAATGGAGCAAACAACTTTTTCTTTTTTTTCCTTCCCTTCTTTTATTTTTGAAACAGCAAACAAGCAAAAGTGACAGGAGTGGATGAAGACGGAGGGGCAGTCCAACACGACAAACAAGATTCAGTGCAGGGGGATAAGTTGTAATCATCTTAAGCAGAGCAGAAATACAAACAAAACAAAACGACAGCACAAAAAAAACATAATCTAACTGTAAACAAAAGTGTTGCTCCTCCACTGAAATCTCAGTTTGGACCCTTTTGTGACTTTACATACGATTGATAGATGCTTTGCAGATCAATTAACTTTATCCATGTTATTAATATTCTCTGAGACTCTGTAAGGTTTGTTGCAAAGTAAAGTTTGCAACAACAGCTGCTACAGGCTTGTTTTTTACATAATTCGTCTTTTTGGCAACACATTCTCCAAGATTTTGTTTTGCCTTATTTCAATCCAGACAGAGTATAGGGTGTTCAGACTCTAAAACCCCTTGAGGCAAATATGTGCTGTTGGGCTATAAAATTGGCTTGACTTCTGTAACATATGTGATAATCCTTCAAAGATATACAGTCAAACAAAAACCCTAGTTGCAAAACACATACAAAAGGCAGGCACATCCATGTAATGAGTCCTAAGTGCAGGACAAAAATACATCTGAGTCATCATCTGGAAAAACATTTGCAGCACACAAGTACAGATGCTCTCGGGAACATTTATTAAATTACTACCTCATGGTGACGTTTCGAGGATAAAAGCTCTACTTCAAACGTAGCAACATACAGAGATAAATAAAAGCG